CCTCTCTCACAGTTTGTTTTAGACCTATCATCAATAATAATGCTGTTCTACGTTGATCATTTTTCAGGATAATGATGACGATGGGAGTGATGAGACATATGCTGAATGGAATATCCGTATGTTTATAAATATTCTTCAAGCCGTTAGGGTTGAACTTTGACAAGAATCATTTCAGGACGGTGCTCCGCGGCTTCGCTGGATGTACTGGCATCAATATTCAAGCAGGAATTGTTACCAATACTTCTTCCGATACTGAAGGAAGCGCTTTGCCATCCAGAATGGGAAGTGAGTTCTGACACCTTCACCAGATTAGTAAATTTTTCCATATTCTTGTTCATTGAATAGGTGTTGGATCAATAGCGGTAGAAATCGTTACTTTGAAGTTTAAGCTATGCTACGCATGCGGGCGCAGAATTTGAATCTTTGGATTCAATTTTATCAACTTTGTGTAGATCGCCAGAAACTGGTTTTGGACTACGTCACTGACTTGATAATTTATTATTGAGTAGCCTACTCTGCAGAAGCTCACTTGCTATTTAGCACAATGCGACCAACTAAAACTAATGCAAGGAAGGCCTAATTTTAAGTTATCACCCTGTTCAGTGTTTTGTATTGCCACATTTCAAGGTTTTAAACGCTAGACGTTTCATATACCTTGCTTGCATGCAGTGGGTCAAAGAACTCTTTCTAGATTAACCGGATAGAGATACATGAATTACGCCACAAAAACATATTTACAGGTGAAAGAATCTGGAATTCTTGCACTTGGAGCAGTTGCTGAAGGTTGTATGAATGGCATCACTCCTCATTTACATGAACTCATACCCTTCCTTCTGAATATGCTGGATGATAAGAAGCCACTTGTTCGGTCTGTATTCTAGGTCATATAACACTGAGATTATTCATTTTTGATTGATACTTTTTAGATCAATCACGTGTTGGACTCTATCACGGTATTGCTCATGGGTAGTGGATGAGGCACGCCAGCAGTACTTTGAACCTACTCTCAAAGGTGTAAGTGTACCGTGCAAGTCAGTTGTAAGCAACAAGTTTAATTACCGTCCTCCCTCTAGCTTCTCGTGCGAGTTCTCGATGGCAACAAACGCGTTCAAGAAGCTGCATGTAGTGCATTTGCAACAGTGGAGGAGGAAGGTGGAGACTTCATTGCACCTTATCTTTCGGATATCCTGCAGACATTAGTGCAGGCTTTTGGCATTTATCAGGTGAGTGCTTGCCTTTCAGTTTGATTATCGATTCAACCCTCTGACGGCACTGCGCGTTTTTCCTTTTCGTTTGCGTGGTCGTTTCTGAGGTTGGAAGTTGAAGTTATCTGCAAAAAGGTGAATGGATCCGTTTTATACACAGAATGACATAGAAAGCCACGTTAACTAGAAATATCCTGCATGAGAAAATACTGAATGAGACACGTGAATTGGTTGGAATTGTTATTAGTATCGAGGATTTATGCACATCGATCAGGTGCTATAAGGCGTATGCTATGATTTTAAAGAGGTGTGAGACTCGTAAAAAGCGCAGTGTTTGTCATCACTTACAACAGCAATGTGGTAAAATTCTTTTTCCTTTCTTCTTCTTTTCTTCTAATCGGTTAGACTGAACCGCAAGTCGTGCCATCTTGGGGCTTCGTTCAAAGATTTTACATAAAGTTTCCCGGGAATTTTTACAATTATGAATATAAGCTATTCCGAAAATTATGGACGAACATGTAAAATACGCATGTACGGCGCGCATCTGTTGGATATAATATTCATCCGTAGCCGATTGGCGTTG